CTCTCGTTTGTTGGCACTGGGGTGGGGTGAGGTGGGGTAAACTACTTCTTTCTGTCTTGGTGCATCTATTCAGACAGTTACGAACCACCAGACAATACGGCGTCAGATGGTGGGATCATGGATTGGAGAGAATTTGAGGAGAAGCGATTGTGATCTACTTGAGTATTATACCGTCATTTGTTTGGAGGAACTGAGGAAAACGACGAAAAGCCGGTGTATTGGAACTGAGCACCTCGCGCATGCAGTTCTACCGTTAGGCTCCTATCTGCACCAGATCAATACCGTCCACTCCATTTCATCCTCTTTCTATAAGATCAATTGCAATGTCATTAGCCTACTTCTCTAGAGTAGGCTTATGCTATCACCATGCTGTCTGTGTGTCTGTTTATCTCACCTTACTAACTTCTGGTTGCCTGAATCAATCTGTGTGAAACTTGGTATGTATATCATGACACCTAAGACCATCCGAACGGCGTACTACGTAAATCCCTCCCATCACTCTGTGTGGTTCTGTATGTTGCGAAGCAACTCCTTGGTAAAAACGTTACTGCGGTAACGAATACACAAGTAGCAATGCAGGAATTGTTCGACACGTCGTTTTCTATGGGATACGTGTCATATCAAAGCAGAGTCTGTGGGTCTATCTGTGTATCCCCTTGTTGGTGCTAGGCAACGGTTCGGCAAACAATTTCCCACGGTATCGAAGAATTGTCGGAGGTGCTTTTTTATTAAAGGAAAGTACTCTACTGACTTGTAATTCCCAATTATTATCACATCTACGCATGCGCCTTCCACGTCGTCTCTTTACTTCCCTTCTTACGCATTAATCTTCAATGCGATCTACATGTCCACCGCTCCCATCTCCTCGCTTTGACTATCCTCTCTATCGGTGAGTATAAGCTCATTATTCCCTTTCCTTCTGCCCACTGTTAGTTCCTCTTCTCTTCAGCGGCCTGTTCTCAGGCATCGTCAGCTCTTCCCGTGACATGAGGCCACGCTGCACCTTTATAATTCTGTATGCTCAAGCCCTGCGATTTCAGATAGCGGGCGAGAAGGTAATACTGTACCTTCCGCACAGAAACATCCTTCTAATTTAACATGTTCTTAATGTCTCCACGAGTGTAATTTGGTCTCGTTAACGATTTTATAATTTGATTTAGAATTGCGACCCACTTAGTTTCACCTAGAGGATGGCGAACTTGCAAATTAGGCACATGCAAATGCTTGGTGTCCACTCCAGTAAAACCACAAGTTGTGCTCAATTAGGAATGCACATTAGGCATGAAGGTGGCATAACGGGGCACGCGGCAAGCGTAGTTGGTTCAGACACTGCGCTACAAGAAGGAAGGTCGCGGTTTCGCGGCCCGATGAGATGGATATAATCTTTCCAATCGCACCATGGCCCTGGGATCAACTCAGCCTCTAACATAAATGAGTACCAGGAATCTTCTTGGGGGGGGGGCAAAGAAGGTGTGTTTACTGATCCGTTGCATAGCAGTAGACGCCCAATTACTGGCGCCGGAATATGCTTACTAAGTTATTGCCTAGCAATGGTTCTATACTTCACAATATCAGTGAAGAGATGAAGCTCATGTTTTGATAGGGGAGTCGATAAATTAATGATAACATTGCATATAAATACATATCGCAATAATTATATTACATTAAGAAAAACTATTATAACAAAAAGAAAATAAAAGAGGAATTGTCTCAATTAGAAAAAAGAAACAAATTTTATTGCACAATAAACTGAACATGAGGGACATTTAAATGATAGCCACTCGGAATATGAGGGGGGAAGATAGGGAAACGTTAAGGTAAATCTCAGGGAAGTGGGTTATGAGAATCGTTGGGATGACTGGTAGTGGATTTTGGCCAGTTCTTGGCTTGGTATCAGATGTCCTTAATCTTCAGCACTATTAGTCGACATTAATGTGCATCTCGTATCAGAACGCGTAAACTAACACTAGCTAATGTGTGGTACGTACATGTGCTTGCTGTGCGGGGAAGTATATACACATAATGTGGATCTTTCCACTGAGTCCACATCCTTAGTTCCATTTCATGACGGCGATGTGAGGCTTGCTCCATCAATCTCTAAGTAAGAACCTGTTATGACTAAGTTATGAAAAGTTTTATGGTCGATACAATTATTGTAGAGTCGCTACATTGTGTCTACCTGTTGCCTTCATAAATCACCCCACACACACTTTAATCATGTACAGTACAGTCCCACACACAACACTGTTACTCTGGCTTTACAGTCTGTCGACATGTGCGTGTCTAGCTGAAGTACAAGGAAAAGGTAAAGGTATCGCCTCCATCTTCAGGGTAGAAGTAAAAAAGGACAAATCCACGAACAATGAACCAGCATGAGCAGGTGGCTGCAGCCTCCTTTTTCTTCTACCCTCAAGATGGAGGTGATGCGTTTCTCCGAAACGTGAGTTTATATAATATTTACATTGCGCCTCGTCCCAGAAGACGGAATTCTTCATAGTCACTGCCGTGAAAACCTCAAATGTTACACAAGACTCCTTACCTCTGATCTGTTGAACTATAAGAAACGGACCGAAGTGTTGCACACCAGCGGAATTTCGTTATAAGCAAATATATGTATGTACCTCGTAGGTTTATATACATTTTTGTATCCGTTTTGTGTGGCCGCATGGTCTGTTATAGCGAGGGAAAGCATTATCATTAGAAGTTCTGGTAAGAATGTATGGCGTCCACTTCTTTCTAAATGCATCCGTGCATATGGGGAATCTAGCAAAGAACCAGCATCACTACAAACTCCGACTACGTCAAATTTATCACAGAGTAACAATCTCTCACCGTCAGTGAATTTTAGCATGTAAACAAAACCTCACACACAAGTACCTGCAAGCAATACTGACAAGCCTGAACTACAATGGTCTATTACTTACTGAAATCTCAATATACGTACATTTCGTGGGGCATTCGTCTTATCTTAGTGTTTACTTACTTACTTACTTACTTTCTTATGGAGCTGAGCCTTTCTTGAGGAGAAGCCAAATCTGCAGCTACTCAAGAATTTACCAGCATTTTATTAAACCCGAAGGTTCATTACTGTGTTCTCAAGAACCCTCCACTGGTCTCTATCCTGAGCCAGATAAATCCAATCCCTACCATCCAATCTCTCTAGGATCTATTTTAATAGTGTCCACCCACCTGAGTTCTGGTCTTCCCAGTGGTCTCTTTCCTTCCGGCTTTCCCACCAATATCCTATATGCATTTCTCTTCTCCCCTATTCTTGCTACATGCCCTGCCCACTTCATCCTCCTTGACTTTATCATTCTAATTGTATTTGGAGAAGAGTACAAGTTATGAAGCTCCTCATTATGCAGTTTTCTCCAACCTCCTGTCACTTCATCCCTCTTCGGTCCAAATATTCTCAAACACCCTCAGTCTACGTTCCTCCCTTAATGTTAGAGACCAAGTTTCACGCCCATACAGAACCACAGGCAAAATTATAGTTTTGTATATTGTAAGTTTTATGTTTCGGACAGCAGACAAGACAAAAGCTTCTGGACTGAATGGTAGCAAGTATTACCCGGGTTCACTCTCCTCTTAATTTCCTTCTGAATGAGGTTCTGATTTGTTATCGTCGTTCCCAAACATCTGAACCGTGCCACACATCTTAGTGCTTTCGAAAGATAAAGGTAAAGCTGTCCCTGCGCTTAATTAAATATTACGCCGTGGGGACATGCGGTGAGGTGTAGGCGAAGTCCTACTATCCTTGACTTTGGCATTAGATGGAGCTGAATAGCTGCCCCAGGCTGTTCTGATCCTGGTAGCCTTTGCATATGAGCCTCGGTGCATCACTGGGCCGGTCAGGCATGTTGCCTTTACCGGGAATCGAATCCCGATTACTCGGTTATCCATCCCGGAGCTCGTCGCTCTACAGACTGAACTAACCCAAATTATTTTAACAAAAGTTGTGCAATTTTTTAAAGTCTACTACTATTCTACATTTGAAGATACTGCGGTACATAATTTGGCCGTAGTCGATTTCGTCTTACAATTTTTCGTGGTAGCCATGTTGATATTGTTAATTGTAAGGAATTACAATGTACATTGATTGGGTGGCCTTAGTAAGGTACAAACATCGTGAAAAATATGTTATTTTCTTTTAAAGCAGACGTAAAGAAAGCAGGGTAACGTGCCGGAGTGGACACGGATGAAATTATACAGCGAGGAACTTAGAATGCCTTCCCTTTCCATCATATTTTCTAAACTAAACCCGAATTAGACAAGTATCTCGAACAGAAGAAAGAAAATTCATATGTAACTCCTGCGAGGAAACCGTACGGAATAGGAGCCCTTGGGAGACAAAAGACGGAGGAAAGGAATTAGAACTGAACTAGCCGGGTTCAGGTCCAGTAGTGTGCTTCTGTTTTAGCGTTCTGGAAGCTTTGTGTACTGATTGGTATGATCCAGCCAGGGCACGGACTATGGCAGGATAGGAGGGGATAGCCAGATATCTGGCAAAATAAAATATCAAACACTGATACCGAAAATTAAATATATTTTCTTTAATTATTCTTTTGTCCAGGATACTATAAGTCAATCAGTAAACATAGCTTTAAAAGAAATGAATTTAAAACTCCGAATACTGCTTTTTTTTTTTTACTTTGTCCACCGTTTGGTACTCTAGAAACTAGAAAACTTAAGTTTCTAAGCAAATTTCCTGCTTGCCCCTCGTCGGAAGGAAAATACTGGCAGCCCCCATTCGTCATAGATGTTAATGTGATCTGTGAGGTCACGGGTGCTAATAAAACGACTTCTCGCAGGATGTAACGCTGTTTAGTTTGGCAGTCAGGTACGAGTTTCTGAGGAAGCCGTTGTACCCGTCTTCCTCTGGCTCAAGTGAAGCCAACAGTCGCCTCCGATACTCCGTTACTCAACTACCAAACCACACGGCGTCACATTCTAAGCTATTGTAATCATGAGTGCTGCTTATGCTTGATTTATTCTTGCAGTGGCAGAAAAAGACTATAGAAATTAATTTTGGCGAGGGATGAGAAGTCACTTTCTTCAACCTCCGACGGACAGGCTTCTGTTCCTGCTTGGAGTGTACTGCTTTGCCGATGTTTGCTTACGAATTCTGAAACGGAAAGTAAAGTGACAAGCGGACAATATCGAGCGAGCGCGCGTGCGCACGCAGGCTGTTGTGGTCCAGTTGACCGGAACGGAACACGGGGTGGCGGCGACCTAACGGTGGCTAATTGGATGGGACCAACAGCTTCAAAATGCGTATCTAAGTTGGCCTGGTTGGTGCTCTGAACGAAGTATCTTACTGAAAACAACATTTCTGTCAAATTTTCGGCAAATGTAATTTGACAAAATCATGATTTTCTTTATTTCCTTCATGTAAAATATAATGGTGACTTAAAACAGAATCGTTTTCATCCAAATCCTTTCAATTTAGAATACATCATCATGCTGCTCGTATTTTTTTTGNGGGTGGCGGCGGCAGCTGCGACTTTGATTTAATAACGGACATGATAACATTGGAAGCAGATATCATGCGAGTTGTCTGGATTTTGAAAATAACTTTCCATTAGATCATTTGATTTTTCAATTGACCTAATCCTTCCAGCCGCACTATGATCCTGGGGTCAACTCAGCCTCTGACAGAAATGAGTACCAGGAATATTCTTGGGGGGTAAAGGGCGGCCGGTGCATAAGTCCGACAACTTCACCGCCATCTGTGAGCCAACTGTTTAGAAAATGCGGTGGCCTCGAAGTCCCAAAACCCTATTTGTCTTCACGGTCTGTTACAGGGACAGCTTTAATATTTGTTACTTTTTTACTTTGTTGAAAAGAGTAATAACAACAATGTTTGTCGAACACAACGATTTTGACCTTCTATTTGTCTGTGAAGTAACGGTTCACAAACAAAATTAAGTGAATTACTGCCACCAAACTATCACGACTCATCGTCCGGGAGAAATGTTAAAAAAGGCCAAGAAATAATTTGCAGTAAGCGTCTTCAAGTACTTTTCAAGAGGACATCTTCTGAAAACTGAATAACTAAAACAATTTTTCTCTGAAGTGAAGGTAAAGTTGACTCTGTGCTTAGTTACTTAAGCACTACGCCGTGAAGACGTATAGGGGAGTAGATGTACAGATCCACGTCTTCTTGACTCCGGCAGTAATTGGAGGTGAGTGGTCAGCTTCACACCCCGGCCGCTTTATCCCAGGGGGAAAGAGCCCCCTGTATCCATTGGGTAGGAGGCTGGTGGACCCCAGAGCCGGTCTGGACGACGGGGAGAAGAGAAAATTCTTGACCCTACCATGACTCGAACTCCGAGCCCTCGGTCGTCCAGCGTGTAGCCAGTCGCTATACCGACGGCGCCATTCCGGCTCCTCTGAAGTGAAGGTTCTCAGATGAAAATTAGTGGTGTCAGATATTTACGGTTTATTAGTTATGCAAGAACTCAACATAGGTCAAGTGACGGTGAAATCCATTTGCTCTGCGAACAAGGGTGCGTAACCAACCTTACGGAAGGAAATTCCTATGTAAATACGTGTGTATTTCCCACCAGATCATGAACACCGGAGTAAATCTCTGGCGCACGGATGACGTTCTCAGAAACTTGAGTCTAAACGATCAAAAAATAATGCCAATAATTCAATAAATAATTGAATATAGACCTTAGTACATTCTAACGATGTAATCAGAGTTATGTAACGGCGTGTATTGGACTCCTTTCCTTCGAATTCCTCAGACTGAGACTGAGTTAGACGCAAAGAAGGGAAGATGCCACAATACCCAGAACCATAAATACTGGTTAGCAAATCAGCCAAGTACGGTTATACGACATGTAACCTACACAGCAGAGAAAGTATTTAAGTACATAAAGAAACGAATTTGCCATGGGCGGGGATTCTCAGTAAAATCTGCTTAAGGATCCTTGCTTCCTTTCAGTACATANGTTTCGGAAGCTGGATCTGTTTCCGTCTTCAAGTGAGAAAGGAAGACACCTACTCAGTGATTGAGATTAGCTCTTTCTAAGAGACCCAACTGAATGGGTGTTTCTTTCTCACCTGAAGACGGAAACATATCTAGTTTCCGAAACGCCGTGTCCTCTATTACATAGAATTCCGGAAGATGAAAAAAGTCCCAAACCTAGTAATTCTGTGTGTCATTCACCATCGTCAGAACCCTTTAGACTTTGGTAATATCTATTCGTATGCTCGAAAAAAACACAATCAAGTTCGGAAATGCATCCGTAGACTGATAATCGCTGTACATTCGCTCACTTGTGTTTCGTTATTGTGCAAACCTTTAGGCGTACGAGAGTACCGTACTGGAAATAAAACCTGTTTATCGTTTTTCTCTGTACAACTTCTGTTCACAACTTTCTCAGATCGGGTAAATCTGTTGCCAGCTACATTCAAGACACGAGCAGAAGCACACATAGGTCTTCATGTAAAGCAAAATGAAACCTGAAATATTTACAGAATTTTTCATACAATTCTCTTACATGCAATCGAGTTGATTCATTTGTACCCACGGACAAGAAGAGTTGGAGCGCTATGGCAGCCATTATACACGAGAATGTCTTAAGTCTTAAAAAATATATTTCTCAGCTAGTGGGACTTTGGAGGGGATACGAGGGCTCTAAAATTAAGTGAGTCACAAGAAACGTGAGTATCCGTGTGTTTTGTGTGGTCCTCTCAGTAAAAATTTTTGTTTAGTAAATAGTATTAAGAGATCGATCTTTTGAACGGGGAGTGCAACGTGTTTCCTTTGAGGTACGAAATGTATTTCTGTTTTATTCGGAAAAAATCAGTCTTTATACACCCTAAATATTTACCTGTTTTACTTCTTAAGCTTTACTTTCCCTCAAATGTACTTCTACCAGAATAACGAGCGGGCTCTGCC